AACTGGATAGTATGCATTATTGAGGCCTGAGTCAACAAAGCATATGTAAGCCAGCATTTTTTACATATGGACAGACAGTGAAGACATACTGTTTGTTTGCTACAAACTTTGCAGGAAAGAACCAGAAATACATGCAGAAGTCTGATTCAATGTATATGCTGTGATTCAGTATTTAAATTAGTCCTTGGGCTTACAAGGGAATTCTTGTTGCTTTTGATTCCAATTATGTAATTCTGTGTATGCAAGCATCTGTCCATTGGGATCTGACCCATTTCTGATCTGTCATTACTCAACTACTGAATGATTATGATAGATCCGCCAGTTAGTTCCTTCATAAAGCAGACCCTAAACCAGTAACAATTTATTATTATTTTTCTTTGTGACAATTGGATTATCAGGCTCTGATTTATAAAATCTAAGGTGAAGTGGTGGTGCTTGCTTACAAATCAAAATACAAAGCTGATTGTTTTGGGATTTTTTTTAGTAAGAACCCTAGAGCACATGGAACCTACAAATTTTGGTGTTTTGGTTTTTTTTCTTAAAGCTGTAAGTAGCTTTTGAATTGATGTGCATATTTACATGTCATTCTGTGCCAAGGAACAATCACTTTATGTCCTAGAGGACAAGAGTATTCTCTGTAATTGTGGTTTGACAATACAAGTATTTGGGGGGAATTGGAGGAATTCCTGCCACACCATCTACCTCCTTGTCCCAGCTTACTTCCTCTTCTGCTGATTTATCTGTTAAGAGTGCTGCTGTGATACTGATTGGGGAACTTATCTAGCCTTGAAGAACTTCCTGAAAGTTTACTGTTCTGGTTCATAGTATGGCCACTGAAACAACCGTGCTGGCACAATTAATGGCACTGCAGTGTGAGAAGAGGAATAAGTAACAAGTTGGGGGAAAAGGGGGAGACTTCAAACCCTTGGGTGACCCCATATGTCATCAGACTGAAGCCAAAATGTGCCTTTCCATTATTTCAAACAAATATGGAGAAATAAATCAGAGATACATATTATTGTAAGAAAAGCATAGTGTACCATAGATAACATATGCAATTTTATTTTATGTAGTCCACTGAATACATAGGCAGAACGTGATTCTGAGTCATTCCAGTGTTCACTACATGCTATAAACAAAATAATTGGTATCCTAAACCTGTCACTTTTAGTGTTTTCTTAGAGATTTTCTATTTCCATTCCAGTCCTTGTAGAGTGTTATAGGGCTTTTATTATTTTTAATAACAATAAATCTCATTATTGTGGGTAAACAGGACTCCATGCTTGTTCATAACCAGATCAATGACAGCATATGTAACCTGATGCATATTCTGGCTGCTGCAAGCATATTTCACCTAAAGGAAGACAGTTATTTTGCTATTTGTATTCTTGATTATGACTGAAGGAAAGGAGATCTGTATCGGTGTCTTATTTCTATGTTTGTTGTTTGTTTCATCCAAATTGGCCATCACCAGTGTAGAAAACTAAGGTTTATTTCATGAAGGAACAAGCTATAAGACCAGCCCGTTAACTCTTGAACGTGCCAGAAGTCGGTTATTTCTTGAAGTGATTAACAGGAAACATAACTATGCTATGATTCTATAATTCATACAGGAGGTTCTTTGTGCCTTATCTGTTAGTGTGACTTAAAAGTCTTGCTGTTGAGCTGGATCCCCGTGCTTGGTGGCTATGTGGATCCTTTTTACAGGAGGAAGATAAATCGTTGGTTCTTTGGTTTTGGTTAAATGTAATGTACCAATGCTAGTTACTGTCCTTTCTCATCCTTGTATCTCTTCAAAAAGCATCGGGGATATAATAGCCAGTCAATTGCTATAACGAGCCATAAATTAGAGAAAAGCTTCATGCCCAGAGTACAGGAGCAGCTGTGTTATCATCGTTGCTGATTTTCTCATTGTGGGCTGCTATCAGATAGAAAAAGGAAACCAGCATCAGGAAAGTTATGAAGTCTGACAGGAATTCCTGCAGATTGGAAAAGGTGGCTATAGAATCTGAGTATTATAACTTTTTAAAAGAAACGTCGTTTACTTACCTTGGAGGTAAAAAGCATTATGGAAGAAAATGTAAGATGCTTATGTTCAGGACTAAATGTGTATCTGCTAAGAATATTATAAAATATGAAGCATGGAATAGGTGTCATATCACTCACATAGTTACATACTCTTATATAATCTGATGTTTTCAAAAATTCTTGCTTTCAAAAAATATTTAGGGGAATAATCCAGCCTAGAGAATGTGGGATCCAGTGATATTTTCTGTGCCCATTTGAAAGGAGCAGGCCAAATTCATCCGTAGCACAACCAAAGTCAAGGGAGTAAACTTCTGCTAGGGCTGTACCCAGCATATATAAACAGATGGGATGGATGCAAATACCTCATAGACACAGACCAAAGCATTTTTTTTTTTCAAAATGTTCTATAATTTCAGTTTCAGTTTTAAAAGTTACCTCTGTGATACATCAGTTTGAATTGTGTTCCCTCATGCACGCACACATATATACACCCTTCCAGATTCCAGGTTTGTTTTTTTTTTCTTTTTCTTTCTTTTTTATTCTTGCTATTTCTTTAAATATTTTTAGAAGGGAACAGGGGGATTAATGAAATGTTTTTGCATCAGTGTGTCAAATGGTTTTGCTTTTATGAAATAAATGTGTTGCTTTTTATTCTATTTATCTTAAAAAGAAACAAGACTGACAGTATTTTTAAAGTATGTTAAACATGCATTAAGACAAATGTGATTTGCATAGGGGAGTGACATTTTTTTCCTCTTACATATTAGTTAAGCACATTTCCTTGAGAGGGAGGGAAGAAGATGACTGAGTTTAGAGGCATATTTTCTTCTCCTATCAGCTGTAGAATTTCTGGTTTTAAGGACAAGAGAAATCTGTTTAAAAGAGAAAGTTGGGGTAATATATACCCAGATTTGCATCTACTCCACTGATAAAAATCTGTGAATATACTTTGTAAAGCAAAACACTGTCTCCATAGTTTTATGTATTTTTGTATATATCAATGAATTTATGGTCATCTTAACTCTGGGGAATTTATCACACGTGGCATGATATTTTTGGGTTTCGTCTAAACTCTTTTTGTTCACTCTTGACATCATGAAAATTTGGAATTTTTAAAAAGGTGTTTTTGAACAAGTAGATTCATCACCAATGCAAAGAAAAATTTGGAAATGTTTTTTCAGATACTTTCTGAGTATTCTCGGTAACTTACTTTCCTTCTCGGTGATCCTCACTGCCTTAAGTTCTGTATTTTCTGTAAATGTGCGTAAATCTTTTCTAGGCACGGACATCTTTCTCACCCATATGTGAAACCGGTGCATAGTTCTAAGCATCCCTTGTCCATTTGTGAATCATGCAACCTGAAATGTAAGCTGCCACAATACTCTTGTAATTGGCAGAACAGTTCATCATCTCATGCTTCATTGCCTGTAAGACTGCTTTGAAAGTTTTTAGTTGGGGCTGCTGTTAAAATCCCTGGTTGCAGAATTTCAGTCGTTTGGGTATTTTTTAACCAAAGAGAAGCAAATATTTTTCTCTTCCTCCATATTACTACCAGAGGCTAATGAAGCAAAGTGCTTCAAAATCAACATACGTTTCACACTGTAATTCTGGTGGAAAATTCATAGAGAACTGAGAAAAGACAGCAGAAAACTCATTGTTACCACTTCCACTCCATGGGTATCTGCTGCAGCTTCTGCTCTTCTTCCTCAAATCTTGATGCATAATGCAACTGCAAGCCCCGTCTTTCAGTATTAATTGATAGTGTGAAGGCTTCATTGAAGGATGTTTTTTGAGTAGGAAGAGTCATGTCTGTCTTAAAGATGGTGCTCAGGAACAGTATTGTAAGCAGCCTTAGCTGAAGATGTAACTAAATAGCTGCTGCACAGCAGAATTATGATGTTTAACAGTAGAGATGTGGTTTTATTATCTCAAGCTACCACCCAGCTGGTGGAGTCTCCCTGTAGTAGGCACCGCAGAGTCCCTTTCATTCTGAGCATGTGGTTAGATGTAAGTCAGGAAAACCACAGATAAACTGATCTTGCAGGGAAGTTTAAGGAAATCATTGTGGCTAGCTTCATGAGAACCAGTGGAAGCCTAAGAGCTGCTGAGTATCTGAGCAAAGTTGGGGGGAGCAGTATACAGGTCAAAGCTCATATAATTTGAATGTCTATGATGTTTATACATCTTTATTTTTGTCATGGTTAATAAAAGAGTTGACAAAAGGAGGTCCAGAAGGTGTGCTGGGAATGTGTAAATGAAAGGATACGTCTTTTATAGAAATGCATCAAACAAACTATTCAGTTTGGGCAGTTGAATGACAGAATAATCTTATTTGACCAAATGCACTTTATTCTGTCTTTTATGCTCTGATTTATTCTCATTGTGTACTGTGAAGTCCTGCTTGGAGTGTCTGTTCTCAGCATAAAACTGTTTGTCAAATTTCTATTAAGCTGAAGGTGAAAAATTAATGAGCCATTCACTTCAGATATTTCAAAACTAATACTGCTATATTATTAATGCAGCAGAAAGTCAAAGATGTGGATATGTACGATTATGGTTCAGTGTTCAGTCAGTCTTTACTTTTCCATATTTTGTGGGGAACATCATTAAAAGAGTGTTTCATGTCATAGAAGGAATTATTTTAATGAATTTAACTTTTTGGACAGTTTTGTTCATAAACTTTTTATCAGATCTGGGTGGAGAGTGAGTTTATTAAATATTAAATATAAATATTGTTATCTGATTCTTACAGATAACAATTAGATTTTATATTCTCTCTAATTTTTCTCTGAATCTGGAATTTAAATAAAAATTCACAGAAAGTTAATTCTTACAGCACAAACCTTTTAGAGAAAAATTAATAGAAGTCTAATTGCATGATTATGAAGAAGGTGTGCCTAAAGCAGTATTCTTTTGACTAGAGAAGTATAACAATGTGACTTTCTTCTGTTTCATGTGCTTTGATTTTTCAGCCTTGACAAAAGTCATTGAAACAATGGTAAAGTTGTACTTCAACTCAGAATTGCATGGCATGTGGTACACAAGTATTGCTGTTAAATTCTCCCAGGAAAAGCTTTTCAGAAATCTCATTTTACTGGGATTACCAGTTGGTACTTGGTTACCAATACCAGTAAGTTAAGTGATAGAACACTGTGAAATGCTTGGTTATGAGTGTGTATCCCAGCCTGAGTAGTATGGAAACTGATGCTCAAAGTTTGTGCTTATCTTGAAAAAGAAAACACAAAACACAGTTGCTGCAAAAGTAGAAATGTGTTCCTATCTGTGTAGAAACTTTCTAAAGATTACCTCTTTTTGTGCTCCTAAAATTAACTTAATAATTGATCAGCATATTTTTCTTCTTCCATTCCAGCATGTTCTCTAGGGTCTTTCTTAAATTAATAGCAGTTTTAGGCCTGGCACAGTTAGATTATTAGATTCCATAGATAAAGAAATTCTTTTTCTTGGAAGATTTTCATGCTATAAAACTGAATTTCATTACAAGCAAAATGTTGTATTTAAATTATTCTCAAAGCATTTGTTCTGCTTGCAGATCCTGAAAACACTATGTGCTCCAAGGAGTTTGTCAACCAGCAGGGAATGAGCAAGCAGGAATCTCGCAAAATTCTTCCAATACAGTGGTTTCTTTATGAAGTTGCACTTCACTGTTTTGCACGTGGTACAGCAACAAGCCCATGAGTGTTTTTTGAATGATTCTATGATTCTATGATTGTGCTTCAACTGGTAGCCCTGGAAATCTCCAGATTTTTCAGTGTGTATTATGTTGTACTAGAGAGATTAGTCTTGCATCTTTTCTTTTTGAATCCTTATTATGATGCATGTAACTTTACTCAGCCTCTTAAACGATGTACACTTATGAGTACATCAACACAACATCAACAACAACTGATAAATATCTGGCAGATGGAAAGGAACTCTTACTTCTTTTTTTTTTTTTTTTTTTTTTCTCCAAGCATTTATTAATGTAAAATGCAATATGGCTTTTCTTATAAATCCTTCAGAAAGTTAAGTTACTAGAGAATCGTATAGATAAGGCCTGAAAAAGATGTCAAGAGGTTATCTAGTCTAGCAGCTTCCCTCAGGGAAGGAATCAACCATAACTACGTCATTCCCAACAGATGTTTGTTTAATATTTTCTTTAAAAAAATTCAGTTGTAGAGATTTTACTACCTGTCTACACGTTTCTTTTTTTAATTCCTTCTATTAGAAAGTTTTTCTTCCAAATAACTTAAATCTCCATTTCTATATTTTAAATATTTTTGGTTTTGTTGTTGCATGCACTCCATCTTATATCATGAAATGATTAATTTTTAAACATGGGAGATTTTCTCTGGCAAGTTGTTCTTGAAAGTGTACCTTTCACAGTTTGTTCAGGTGTGAAGTTCAATTTGTGGGTAAATGGAGAAAGGCAAGATACTTTTCATCTATAGCAGTTTGAGATTCATCACTCCTGCAATAGAGTCTGCAGATTGACAAGCAATGGGCAGAAAATAATGTCTGTTACACATCTCTGATGGACATTTCAGGATTCCTTTTGATTCCAGAAACAGACTCTCAAAGCTTGAGGAAGCTGATTTTACCATCAATTTAATCAAATAACAGCTTTGAGGGATGTTCAACCCTGCCCAACTTCAGTAAGATAAAATTTTTTCTAAATTATGTTTTGAACAAGTTTTGCCTTTCCACTTAAAGATGTCTAATTCTCTCAAAGTGAGCACTGATAATATTTCCACTGCGTGTAAAAGCTGAACAGTTTTTTTTCCATAATTAAATGGCGTAGCCTTGGTTGGTTTTTTGCATTATCATTAAGAAGTAAGATGTAAGAAGTCTCAGGCGGTTCTAGGACAAAAAGGAAAAAAAAAAAAGGATATGCATGAATTTTTTTATATTCTGTTTCAGTAATAATACTTCTCATAGTAATTTTATAAAAAATTATTAGAACATGTTCTGCTGATTTCTGATAGCTTTGTCATTGTAGTTACATGGAATGTAGAGGGTGCCTTTTGGTTGCGAAGAACTCCATGTCATCAGAAAATGTGGTAGTTGTTTCATAAAGGTCTCGGAGAGAGGCCTTGTATTCTGAATCCCTAGTTGGAAGTTTGGCAATTATTCAGTATGAGCAGGTGTATTGGAAGGTTTTTAGACTTTTGCAGGTTGATCTAGGACTGTTTTCTGCCCTGTGCTATGAACCTCCACTCCTTTTCTGTGGTAGGATTTTTGTCTGCAAGACAATTCTTGCTTTCCATTGAAAGAGATGATGCTTTTATTAGGCCAGATGATATAGTTGAGAAAAACAGATCAGCATGGTATCCTGAAGTGCTTCAGGGCATTTCCATGTGCAGAGTTTGCATTTTTTTTCTAGTTCTATTAGTTGGTCTCCCAAAATATCTAATTATCTCATCAAAAACCTTCCCATGCTTAAATGCTGGACAGTCATGTGAATGGAAACTGATGTTTTTTCAGTTAAAGGGAGATTTTAAAATATGTTTGAATCTTCTGATATTGTGAGTTTTGTGCTGTGGCTTCTGAAGAGCTTAAATCTGTAAATGAAGTATTTTGATGCTTTCTGATCTGTACCTCCTCCACTTGACATGTCTGTCTGTTCAGTACACTCTTATTCCAGACCTCCTTCAGCTGAGCCTTCAACCTTCCATCAGGGATACACCCCTGCATTATGTTAAAGTTACCTTAGCTGCATTGAACCCACTTCGAATCAATGAGGTGATCAGATTGTATTCTTTAAAAGGATTGAGGGCGGATATAAGAAAAAAAAATAATCAGGCTTTTTGGTATATGCAAGGAAGCACGTCTCATCAAGTTGCCAGTGTATCGTCAACGTGCAGTATCCTCTGTGGTATGTTTCTTGTCACAGTTCTCACGTAAGTTCGTTTGTGTGATAGCTCGCCTCTAGTTCTAGTACTAAGTAGCCCAACTTCTGCAGAATTTAAACATTATAGTATCCCTGGCAAATCTAACACCCTTATCAGTAGCAGCATCATCCAGTACAGACAGATACTTATACCTCATTTCAGGTTGCTTAAATGTCTGTAAGGCTCTGTTCAGTTCTTACTTGAATTTGAAAGTTACCATTAATAAGTAATTGGTTTCCACTGATTCCTTTAACTGTGCACCGATTGAATTTGTTGTGTTTAAGTCACATACCATCTAATGTTTTCTTTGACTCTTTGCCAGTTTCTTTCTTGTGAAACTATTCCCCAAAAACTATAATGTGTAATTTTGTGGCACATGTTCTTTAGGGATATATTTTATTTTTCCCAGTAAGGTAAGTACAAAGTAACAGCTGTCTATCTAAATAAGTTGTTTTAAGTTGTATTGTAGATACTTGGTTTTTTCGGTTGGTTTATGCAAAAGAAAAATCTTCTAATTTTCATTCATTAAATTGCTGTTTTCTTTCTATCTTTTAAGATGGAAGCTACCGACAAAATCGACTGAACCTCACAACATTGTTAGTACAACCAATTTCTGCAGTGCTTGCCAAAAAACTCGTTTCCTTACCTGAGGACACTGTCCAAAAAGATAGGTGTATACCCCTCCAATGGCCACCAGCAGGTAATGCTTTATAAACATATTTTTCTTCTATGAAATGTTGTTCTAGGACTCCAAATCCATTTTCAGTAACTGTATATAACTAAGAGGTACATCTGATTATGAGTATCTTTTGCTTTGCTGCTTTCTAGAAGAGGCTATGAACAACATGAAAATTAGATAAAATCTGACAGATAGAAGTGTTGGTTAAAAAAAAAGAGAGAGAGTCTTAGTATAAGGCATTAAACTCTAATTCTTAATATTTACTTTAAAAACCATCTATCTAGACACCATCACCAGGGAGACTTTGTTCTATAGTATGGTTTCTTCAGCCTCGTTTTACTACTAAGAATGTGATTTTGATATTAAGGCACCAATGGCTCTACTAAAGTTATTCTGTGTCTTTTTTATGCTTCCGGTGCAAAAATACTGTAATTCTAAACAATGGTGTGTCTTTCTGGGTTTCTTAATTTCTATCTGCTGTAGAATAAACAATGTATTATTGTCTGAACCTTCAGGCACCTTTTCCTCCAAGTTTTACCAGGAAAATGGTCATCATGATAAGAAAATACCTTGCACAGACCTGGATGTAACGAAATAATGCATTCAGAGTATCTCTTCAGAGATAATGCCATTAGCAAAGTCATACATATTATTGTTTGAACATACTTATTGCTGATGTAGGGGGGAAAAACTTAGAACACAGTCTTCCAGAAAAATTGCAATGTTTTAATGAAGTAACACTTTCTAGATAAGGTTCTAGATGAGATGTGTATTTAAAAAGTTATTCTGTCTCGATTTTCATTTTGAGCTAGTATATCTTTCACCAGAAGAAGAGTCAGAAAAAAAATTTATTTTATTATAACATCTGTTTAAGTTAATTGATTTGAATCAGTAGTCTTGGAAGGGGGTAGGCAAATTAAATTAGCCATTGTATCCCGTCCTAAATACGGTGATGATAACAGTAAAAGCACATTATAAAGGCAAGCAGTGTACTATCACATATGTGCTATATCACTTGTTCATTACTTTTGGAAAGTTATTTTGGAATAGAAGTACAATACAGCAAGTCATAAAAGAGGCTGATTAATTTTGACTTGCATTAGCATTTGTAGTTATACATACTAAAAAGGAAGGCAGAAAGACCTCGTGCTTCATGACTTACTCTGTTGTGGTTAGGCAGAACTATTGCTTTCCATGCATGGCTGACTAGATATTTTAAAGATTAATTGATCTTCCCTACAACCAGTAGACTATATAAACAAGAAAGGGTCATTTTGGAAGACACAGGTGGTTAACTGTTCCAGAAGGGATGCGTGAAGATTCCTAGTATTGTAGTTTTCAACAGCTGAAGTGCCTGAAGAAAAGGATGATCTTGGCATTCATTTTAGAATGATAAAAGGCTGCATTGTGTGTGTTTCTCAAGAAGCTTTGTGTAGAGGCTGCAGGACAGAAACACCTAAAGGATAGCTTATTCTGTTGTTTGGTTTTTTTCTGTGACACATGTGGCATGTCTATTTTATTACCCTGAGAAGGCAGGAATTCTGTGTGGTGGAAAATTTCATGAAAGAAAGAATATTCCAAGCTAGCAATCTAGTAAAAGCAAATTTGTGTCTGACTACTCTGGGTGAACACAATAGCTTGTGTCTTGAATTCATGTAAAGTTTCTGAACCACAGTAATTCCTTTTGAATTTATTTTAAAAAAATGTTAGTTTATTGAGCAAGTAGGGTCTATGATAAGAAGCCTTGCCTAATTCTGTAATGCATTATGATAGATTTTGCCTTGAAATCATGGTGAAACTATAGATGTTCTGGAGCATACAGTGTGCTGAGTGTTCAGTAGCAGCCTTAATAGAAGAGATAAAAGACTGGTCTTCTGATAAGAAATCTTGTGTAGCTATTTAATAATAATAACTAAAGAGAAAATGCTGAACAGAGCAATGTGTATGAGAACAGTGAAAGCTGAATTTTCAGTCTTTCTGTTGATTTGCACAAATGTAAAAGAGAAATCACTTCTGACGTAGAACTCATCACTTACCTGTCAAAAGTGGTGGACAAGCAATTCAGATGATTGGTTGGCTTAAAATTTTTTAGAATGAAATGATCATCATTCTCTCATCATTATGTTTCAAAAAGCTGAACAGCAGATTCATCAGTAATGATTAAATATTTATATATAGTTTTCTCACAGTGCCTCTTTTTTCCCTTAGCCTTGCAGTTTTCAAGAGACATAATGTGACAGAGGGAGTAGGAGGATATGGAGAGAAACATCTGAGGTATATTGAGGGCTTAGAACCTACAAAGCGAACAGTGGGAATTGAAGTTAATTATAAGTTTTGTGTTAGTTGAAGTTAGTAATTAGATTTGCTTTTTGTTTAGTATGGTGTGTCATTGATAATCCTCATTAATTTGAAATTCTGTGCTCCTGTGAACTTTTTCCACAAAATGGGCAATTAGAAGGAATTTAAGAGTGAAGTGTTATAGAGAGCTGTACACTTCCAAAGCTTTTTTTTTTTTTTTTTACAGAATATTACTAGTATATTTGCTAGAATGTTATGAAGACTGCTGTAAAACTAAAGCACACCTATAAACATAAATGAAGAAAGTCCTGCTGTGTTGCAGTAAACTCTTTGTTTAAATTACTTGCCAGTTGGTGGATTTCAGTCACATGCCAGTCATCCTTTTTCAGTGAATGTCTTGAGTATTTAAAGTAAATCTATCTAGTGGAATTTAATTTAAAAAGTTCGTTACTAATGACCATAGAGAATCATAGAATCATAGAATGGTTTGGGTTGGAAAGGACCTTAAGATCATCTAGTTCCAACCCGCTGCCATGGGCAGGGATGCATCATGCTAGGCCATGTCGCCCAAGGCTCTGTCCATCCTGGCCTTGAACTTTGCCAGGGATGGAGCATTTACCACTTCTTTGATGTTAAATGGAAAACCTCATAGCCTGGAAACCTGGTAGTTAAAAATATTAGTGATATATGTGTAATTTTCCTGTTCTTTAGGTGTCAGTTTTCATACTTAGACTAATCACATCTGAGAAAGACAGAAGATGAGAAAGATTGTCTGGATCAAACAAGATCATTAAGGGTACATGTTATTTCAGCATGTATCAGTAGAGTTAACATACACAGAACAAGATCCCATTTCTTATGAGTTCTTGATGACTTTTGCTGTGAACTAGGTGTAGGGTTTTTTTATTTTAACTTACAAGCTAGTAAACCCAAAGCATTAATATATAAGTATCTTGAATGCTATCAAACACTGAGAGAATAATAGAGCCAGGTATACTAAGACTCCCAGCATTCTGCTACAGGCAGCAAAATGACTCAGATCAAAATGCTTTTTAGGTAGAATCAGTTGATCTTTTGTAATCTTTTATTAGCTTACAAAATACAGTTATTGATCAATAATGAATAATCTTAATGACTGCAATGCAAAGCTTCATTGTAGCCTGCAAACAAATCCATTCCTCTACCAAAAAAGGTGAGAATGGAACAGATAAACATAAGTGACTGCTACTGAAAAGTCTTCTAGCATAACATAAAGAAGAATTTTTGTAAGATGTTGAACATGTATTTTATACCAGTCCATGCATCAGATGGTCATTATACTGAGTTTTATCGATAACTCTGATCATATGAAATTTGAATCTATGTGAAAGGAATAAGTGGAAGATTCTTTTAGTTTCCATATAACACGATCATTGTCCAAGGCAAATAAAGTTCTCTGCCAAGTGCTGCAGTAGTGCAAATGAAGCTTATCTTCTTTTCAGTCAGAGGAAGGGCACGGAAAGATAAAGGACATATATATCTTTTTATTAGGCTACAGCCTTGTTATATGTGTTTCTCCTTCGTAGTTTGCTACCTGTCAGAGGGAAGAAAGAATACTATATTTAATGAACTCTGGCTGTGCCATCATACACTATGCTATCAATATGCAAACAATTCCATAATTTCTAGGTATTTGCACTATGCTAAACATAAATCCAAGAAAACAAATAGAGAAAAATGACAGCATATTCTGTGGCAGTGCACATTATCATATCTACCAAATTTGAATTAATTGTACATAACAGTAGGAATATAACTATGTTCTTCAGATATTGCTTACTGACATTGTGAAGAAATGTGTATTAAATAGGGAAATCAGATGTAATACAGACATACTGAAAACAAACAATTATACTAATGCTCGTAGATTTTCTTTTTGAGATTGCTTTAAATTCTGTACTTTTTTTAAATATAAGTTCATGAAAAGAAGTAAGCATAAACAGTGTGAAGCATTTTTTATTAAATCTTCTCTCTACGAATACCTAAAGGCTCACAAGTTTTCCTACCAGAATTGTAACTGATCAAGGTGTATTTTCAGAATTCTGTCCTGTGCTGTTACTGGTTTTTTGTGTGTGTGTGATGCTTTGGTTTTGATTGCTGTAAAGCACATAAAGAATCTCTCAAAATAGTGTAAGATTATGAAATTCAACTATACAATATGAAGCATTCTCAAAATTCATAACTGTCTTTGACATTGTGACACATTTATTCTATATCTCAGTAGGCCATCCCAGTTTAAAGCCTCCTTAAAGGACTTTATTCTAGACATCACCTATTTTCAGAAGCTTTTTGTTTCAGTAGATTTAATGTTAGATTCCGTATTGTAGGTCAGAAAAGATTGCAAAAAGTTTATTCATTAAGCTGTTAAGATGGAGATGGGGCGTGAAGACTTGGGGCCTATGAATACCCATTTAAAAATGATGTTAGTAGGCAGCATAGTTGGTTAGTCAAATAGAAATCTAGTCAGGAAAAAAAATAGACTAGATTTCACAGAGACCGAATCTAGTTAGTGTATTGCATATACATATATAAAAGAAGAAAAAAAAAACCAAAACAGTAAAGGCTTTTTGTTATAGGGACATTGTCTAGGAGTTCTGACATATTCCTGCACAAATAATTTTATAATTCAACAATCCTCTACATTGTCACAGATTTAGTATTGATTTTTACATTTGGATTTTGATGGTGTCACATAATTTTTCAGAGATAATATATAAATTATTAAATATATACTGGTTTATAAGTTTGTTTTCACAAGTATGTAGTTACATTGCATGTAGGTTTTTCGGTATGTGAGTTATATTGTTATATAAATGCTTGTGACAGTTACATTTCTTCATTTAAAGTCCTATGAACTTAATTGAAAACTGATTCAAAATATAGGTAGATAAGGTTTTGCACTCAATTGACATGATGAAATACTGAGAACTAAATATATTTTTCCCACACCAGTAAGATTTCAAAAGCCCATTAACTAGGCAGTCTAATATGGAAGTAGTCAGTGGGAATTTACTCATTCTAGAAAACATCTGAGGAAAATTAAGCATTTGTTTCAAATGACAGCAAAATCTGCTGTTATATGTTTAATGTATACTTACCATATTGGTGTACTTAACGAGGTATTCCAAATGTTACGTGCCAGTCCATATTATTCTGTACAGTATCATCAACAGAATATAAGAAACCCATGACATATTTAATTATTTTTTTATATGCAAATACTTTATGGCTTTTTTGCATTCTACTGTTGGTTCTCGCTGCATCATCATGTTCTCTGGTATTTGATATTACTTTAAAGCCTCAGGTCTTGGGGCAAGTAACTTAGGAAAACCGTAGCTTTCATTATTAAAAAAAATTATCAGCTTTCAGGGTGCCTGAAAAGCTTGGTAGCGTGTGTGTTCAGAAAGTTAGCAGTTATTAGAACCTGGTGTAAGGTTTTTGAATAACTGGAACAAGAAGTCTGTTGAATGTAATTTTATCCTGACTACCTCAGCTGAATTAGTGCCCCCTAAGTAACATGGCCATGGATGTTTGATGATGTTTGAAAGCTTTACTTCAACTGTGATTTCAAGCTGATGGATTTTTATTCAGGTGTGGTTTATGTTTATTTCACCAGGAATTATATTCATGTTAAAAACTGGATTACTTAAAGTTATTCAATGTACCTTGTTTCTGTAATCTTCTGAAATAATTTCTGGTTTTATGATTCAAGAACTGCATTATCAAAATGCATGAATTTAGTTAGTACTTGATGCTTCTACACTGAGTTAAATGTGCATGTAGAGAAAGTTTTGTATATAAGTAGCAAAAATCTTGTCAAGTGAGTTCAAAAGCATCCCTAACGATGCTTTTTAAAATCCAGTACTGAAATGAATGTTCAGAAAACTGTCTCATTATAAGTGGTTAGTATGATCAGGATTCAAGAATTTAACCAATATATTAGAAAATGAGGTTCAAACCTATACTCCTGTATGTTAGTATGAGCTTAGGATAAGGTGAAAAAATATAAAAAAAGCATAACTCATTTTACAGGCCACAAGTAGTTTTTTGTTCATCTGAAGTTCTAAAATTGTCAAATTTATGGGAAATAACTGTGCATTTCTAAAAATAACTATGTAATTGTGAGAGGAGTAGGTAGTCAGTTGGTATAAGGCAGTTCACAGTTTCCAAGTCAAGAAATAAATAGATAAATAATACTTACAATAAATACTTCTACTTCAGAAGTAGCTTTTAGGTTACGTAAACTCAAAGTGTATCCTAAATAATGTTAAGCTGAAGTTTGCTCACAGTTTTCCAGAGAATACAGAAAAAAAGAAGGATGTCAAGATCTTTAAAATACAGCATTAGGAAGAGAGGTTTTTTGTCAGAACTGTTTAAAAGGGATTAAATTTCACTTCTGCTACATACTCCAAAGAGTACTTTCAGCCTTTTCATCTGGAGTACTAAGTCTTTAAGCCCAAGTCACTTTAAGCTGAGTGCTGTGCTACATGACTATTAACTTGAATATCTGATTCCAGAATATGTGTATTGCCAGAAGTTAGTTTTCCATTTCTTTATTGTCAGCTGAAGACTGGATAGCTGATGTTGATTAAAGAAAAACAGTTAAGTCAGTTGTCTTCAAAAGGGTTTATGTTATTTTTGTTTGAAATGGAGCCTAAAGGAACATGTATCGAAAGTGTTGTAGAGTTAGAAAAGGAAAGGAAATCAGTTTGGGCTTGAAATTCTTTTTTAAGCAAAGTAAATTGGCTCTAGATTGGTTGTAAGTGAGAAATAGCAGCAAGAACTAACTTGCATAGTATAGATTAAATTTAAACTGCTTGATCAACGTGGATGCTTTGATCTGTTTTCATGTGGTTTTAAAATACTGAAAAGAGACCATAGGTGACAGTATAGTGCTGGGAACCCTTTGGACTGATTTTTTTCCTTACTGACGTACTTTTTAAAAAAAATTTATAATAATATTGAGATTTATAGAACAAACACAATTCATCATCACATGGTTAATAAACCTTACAGTAACTTACATTAGAAGAGCAAAGTTAATTATAACTTGAACCCCAACATATGCATGACAGATCAAAATACAACCTCTCTGTGACTGATTATTGCAAAATAGGGAGGTGTGGGTTATTTTTAATTAATTGTGCTTGACTTGCATTTTCTTCACTGTTGCATTCTAACAAAACCAGAGTTATTATGTAGAGGACGCATCAGTTGATAACAGGTTTTATCTGAGTAGAAAGTAGAATAAATATTGCCAGTACTTTTTTCTTTTTTTTTTTTTTTTTTTTAACAAAGAAAGAATCTAGCAGTTGGTTTGCTTTTTTCAAATATCACTGAAGACTAGTAAATGAAAATACATTGGATTTTATTTTAGGAGAATTTTAAAGTAAGTTTCTCAGATGAAATACCAGCAAATGAACCTTGAAGAAAAGTATCATAGAGATGTGTTGTTTTTATTTTACACGTTGGGGTAAACTCTCACTTGCACATTCCTCACCATCTCGGGAAACAAAGCCAGGAAACAAACTGTTAGAAATACATCTTTGGGAGGATAATAGCCTGGGAGATAGAGACAAAATGATCCATGGAATATTTTAATTTTGGTCTGTGACAGTTGGAATATGGACATGGAAGGAATTCAGGCTCCAAGACACCTTTAAACCGAGGTCTGTTACGGGGGTGGTGCTGCACTCGATGTAAGAGGAACCTCCCTGAAGGTCGGGGATGACACAGTGGTTATTGTCAGACAATTGCTAGCATTTAAGTTTAAGCTGTTTAAGACATTTTGACTTTTCTCAGATAGAAGTTATGACCTTTCAGATGAGATGAATTTTAATATTGCGTATTATAATGCAAACGAAACATTTTAAAGGTATCAGCAGCTCCGTGTAGTTAGTTGTTTTGCTTCCATTGCCAAAAACTGCAGGAGTTAGCATGGTTAGTGTGTCTGTCCTACCTGAGGGACAGAGGGAATGACAGTGATTTTCAGCAAAGGACAGTTAATTTTTTTTAAGCTATATTAACTCAAACATTTACTTCTCTGTGGCTTTATGCTGCACTGCAGTCTCAACTGGCATAGTAATACTGGCTAGTCCTGTACATTTTAGTAGGTTTGGGAACTTTACTGCCTTTGTATTTACACCATTTCCTCGGCTGATACCAGCTAAACCAAAATAATCCCTGTCTTCTGTTGGCATAAGTTCACAAATATATAACCAAAGGCTATGCTGGCAAAGTGGTAAGTAATGCAGAGGTCTAACTTTTCCCATCTGATTTAGCATAGGGGATTTTCACCAGAAGAATGGTGTCATATAAATCAGGTATAATTTCGTGAATGTTACTGGAAGATTGACCTGGGTGAAGAATTAGGTGGGGAAAAAAAAACCTATAAAGGAAATATTTATTGATGAATTGAATGATCTTTTAACTCAAGGAGTAGAGATCTCTTTTGAGATTCCAGCTTTGAACCCCACTGCTAATATGGGACTAAGAAAATGTCTTTTTTATTTTGTTTTCTTGGGGTTTTCTTTGTTTGTTTGTTTGTGATTTTTTGTTGTTGGTTAGGTGGGTTTTTGATTTGTTTTGGGATTTATTTTTTTTTTTAACCTGTGGGGAATTTATATCTGCATCCTGTTGATTACTTGGCTGGATAAACAAGTTTAACATTCTATTTTTCTTTTTTTCTTTTTTCTTTTTGTCTTATAACAGGAAAAAAAATCAGCCTAAATATTCAGTCAGTCACAACTTACAAGACAATTTCTAATGTTATTGGATATTTAAAAGGAGCTGTATTTCCTGGTAAGTAGCTCTTTAGCACTTGTATCAGTCATAGTGGGATCAGGATTCTGTTTTGGCAGATAGTGCGCTAATACAGAAGGAGGAGAGAGTGTTTGTTGCAGTCAGTTTGCGATTTGATTTATAATAAAACATAAGGTTTAAACAGAGAATGACCTCAATGGGATATTATAGACAGATATATAGTAAGCATATTTTTACACAAAAAGCAGGAATAGAGAGCATCAGTATTTTATACCAGGTACCTACATTGGTGGTTTTAATTTTAGGGTGTACTTTATTACATTATTCAAATTAATATGCAAGCTGTCTGTACGTCTTTTGAAAAGGTTTTATGGGTTTGGGGTTTTTTTTTTTTTTCTAATATTAGCAGAATTTTGAGAGAAATAAAGTTCTATGCTTCAAGTCCAGAACATCCCTACGTAATTCAAGTGTCTCACTGAAACCAAGGTGTAGGGCAGCGTGATCTCTGGCTTAGTCAGATTAGATTTTTAGTTAAGAATCCAATATCAAATGTGATTATAGTGTACAAAAATCTGTGACTATGCTCTTAATCACTCTTGCTGGAGCTTTATTTTGTGTTACAATCATGCCTTATACTAGTTTTACATGAGTCTATGAATTATAATTACTGTTCTGTACATCAATGAATTAAGATTCTAAGTGCAACTGTGGCATAAACCACGAATCTCGTCCCTCCTTTGATGCTGTATGTAGATACTACGATAATCAGGACATCATAGGAAAGAAGACTATTTTGAGCTTAATTTGTCTGCAAGTGAATTTGCCTAGAAGTTGAAGGGTTTCTGCAACGTGAAATACCGTTGCTGGCTACTTCCATAGTGCAAAAGGCCAAACCAATTTCTAATGTACAGGTGGCATCATCATCAAAAGATCATCACATTTGTCTTGATTAATGCTTTTTTATTAGGTTCAGAAGAAATGTTGCAAATTTGTCTAGAGTCCCTTAGGAGGTGAGCTAGTCACTTCGTATTTAAGTGATGGAACAAAGGAGGTGGGGAGGATTTAAGCTTATTCCTGTTAGAAAAAATAATGACTTAGTGTTGTATGTGCTGAATGCTGTGCTTTTCACCAGAACAATTGAAGAAAACACAAAAAACCTCACAAAAAAACCCACAAAAAAAAAACAAACAAAAAAAAAGAAAACAATTAGCACAGTGAATTTAATTTCAATAAAGGATTTCATTTCCTTCATGAATGTGAAGTTACAAGTCTACTATTGCTAATGTCTTCTAAATAGCAATCATGGAATTTGAAAAGTAGGAACTTCCATATTTAGACATACCATGTACTGAATTGTGAAAAGAAGCAAGACAAATAAAAGGCTTTAGTTTCTGTTTGATAAATTCTTTATCTTCTCTGTGCCTAAAACTTTCATCTTATTATTGCATTATTAATAAGATGTTACCATAAAGGTATGTCAGTATATGGTTGAATTTAAGAAGTAAAGGATATATAATGAAGTGAAGTCAATAGCACTCCCAGATGCCAACAGTTTATACCATAAATGTCTTGCTGCACAAGGGCCATAGCAACTGACTTCTAATGTAGGCCCAAGTTAAACACTTAATCACAATGGATAACATTTTGTACAGAATCAATGTTAAACCTTCATTTGTTCTGCTCCTCGTCCTGGTTCATGCTGTAGCCATGCCTTCTCAACTGATTAGAGTACTTACTGTTTGCCTGTCATTAATTCTCTGACATTTTGATGTGGTTTTCCTGGTTTCATACACCTGAAATAGTCACCTTTATGTTCCCAGAAATGTGTAAAAAAAGCAAAATTTATCTGTAGCACTTAATGAGAGACTGCAAAGCATTGTCAAGGGTGGATTTTTAATTTGTTTGTTTTTCGATTAAAGGCCTCCTAACGCACACACAAACACATCTGTGTAATAGTGATCTTATTTGACATTTGAGCATCTGGAATGCAACCAAGATATTAAAAGCAGAGGAAATGTGATAGTTGGTAGCCTTTTAAACCCTGAAAAACTTAATACTGATTTTGTAGCTCTATTGTACATGGTTGAAAATGAGATGTGTAACAAGAGAAGACAGTATAAAGTCACTCTTTTTTAATGATAAATCCCTGTTGTCCAGCTCATCACTACCCTGAATACTATCCCATCTTATCACATTCACAAGTATCTGGTGGATATTTTTTTCTCTAGTCCATCCTTTCTCTTTTATTACCATGTGATCGCTTTCTCCACGTGCTTCAGCAAATGATTATGAGAAAGGACAGCTGCTCTCTCTGTAAGCATGACCATCCTTTCTCCTATGCTTTTCCTATAGTCATTTGCTTCAGGGTATTGCCTCTATTCAAAAGGGAGAGATGTGCAAAGATGATGAATTTCAAAGGAGGCACCAGCTGTTATTTTTTACCCTTGTTCATTCAGCTTGCATCTCCCACAGTAAATTGCTGCTTGTAGCTTTCTTCTCCATCAAAATGCCCTATACTATTTTACATAAGGTCTCTTTCCACTCCCCTTCACATATGTTGTTCACAGACTGAACAGAGATTAAAATACAGGGCAAGTATTGATCCTGTCTGCTTACCCTATGTTAGTGGCACTTCCTCTGACAACCTAGAAGGCCATTCATTTCTGTTCCCAATTCCTAACGTTAAGTTGAAGTATTTATGACTTTTCACTATCTGTGCAACCTATAATTAAAGTCTCATGACATAACACACAGGTTGCAAAATTCTATGTTGTAGATTGCATTTTGTTACATTAAATTATTATGTACACTTAGATTTGCATTTTGCATTTCTGCTTTTAGAAAGAAATTTTCATTTACATGCCTATTCACTCCCCAAGCAGTTAAGTGAAGATGCTGTTTCATAGGTATATAACAGATACCGTGTTTATAAAACATTTTTGATTCCTTATAAAGCAACATCTCCATGAATTTTATCGAACAAAACAGGTAGAAGTTGAGTTTGATTGAGAATGGTCTTACAATCGAAGTGTTCATTAGTGTTCTGTTAAAAATCTTTCCAGGCAGCAGTCACTGCAAAAAACACTGGGGAGAAGATACTTAATTTTATAAGCAAATATAAACCACAGGCATTTTCCCATCTATGTGTTGCTACATTCCAGTGTGCTGACAACAGTGAAGAATGAATCCCCTTGGATAAAGAAAGAAAACTAAAAATTTTTTGCACTTTTGAAACCCAAATGATGCTTGGAGATTCTTGTGGATCTGGCATCATATGATAACTATTCTTCTGTTCTCTATCGGTATCCTGAAATATGGAAGGAACACCTGTAGAAATCTAAATCTGGACCAGAAAGAGACTTTAGTAAATACTAGAACACAACCAGGAAGCAGTCCTTCAAAGTGGCTTCAGTTTTGAGTTCGTCTTACACAGAAGATCCAATAAGTCATTCAGTATAACTCTGCTTTGACTTCTTGACACGCGTCAGTCACACTAGTCATTCATGTTGTTTCCCACATCATCCTTTTGGAATAAAATGAGGTTCTTTACACTTGTTAGTGATTGGATTATATATTATGCTTTGAGAGATTAAGTTTTCATTTAATTTCTCTGGAAAAAAAAAAAATGTGAATTTATTTTCTGGATAACCATAGGCATGTTCTTTATTTCAGGTTGAAACTTCTTGCTTTTCATTTTATAAAATAGTTTCCTCCAGTATCATCAAAGTTGCTAGGTCTGATTTATCGTTTCTGTTTCATTCATTATATCTATTCCTCTGTCATGTTTCCTCTCTAAACCTTCAGTCCAGGTCTTTTCAATGTCTCCTTACATGGAAGTCTAAGTCCTGATATATAACCCTTCTGGTTACCAGCTTCTCAACTGCTGTTTCTGCAATGTCTTTTTTGAGATAGGGTGGTGAGCACTGAACACAGTCTTCCAGGTGAGGGAGTACTAATACTTTGTGTATTTTCTCTATGTTTCCCATTGTACTACCACACCTTTTCTTTTCTTTTTTGGATGCTAATATGTATTGAAGATAGAGTTTCCTGCTTATTCATTTGTGATTTTTTTGTAACACTCTAATGTGAGCTTGGGACTTTCTTAGATTATCAATATGAAGAAGTCCTGGCTGTAAAAATGGTATATATCAGATTTATAAGAAGGGAGAGTAATAAGCAACAATGAGGGCAAGGACACAGGGATTAAATTAGGGAAGTATATACATGTATTTAATTACTAGTATATTTTTAACTAGTATTCACAGTTTTATCTATTTACAGTGTATGATTGTCTTGCACATGATCATGTAATTTTTTGTTGACAGCATTGTGTTGTGTTAATGACGTTACAGACTAAAACAGTTAATCTTTAGGTTTTTTAAAAATCCTTTTAATGCTAGTATCTAGGAGAAGTAAGATTCTCTCGTCTGTCCCTTTTTTTGCATTTCAGACAGATACGTCATAATTGGTAGTCATCACAACAGTTTGAATTCTTATAGTGGACAAGAATGGGCCAGTAGCACTGCTATCATCACAGCATTTATACAAGCCTTGACACTGAAGGTTAAGAAAGGCTGGAGACCTGACCGGACCATTGTTTTCTGCTCGTGGGGAGGAACGTCATTTGGCAACATTGGTTCATATGAATGGGCAGAGGTAAAATAGTTTTAGAAAGACTCGTTGCAATACAGATTACTTGTATTGAAAGCACAAAAACATGATGAAATTACCACATAGAAATTATGGTTCATTAACTGGCATGTGATATCTTTCTGTGTACCTTCATGAGCTCCAGAGCAAATGCAGTGAAAGAATCTGTAGAGGCAGTTCCTGTGGAATGGAGCATATGATAATGAGTGGCAAGTTTCTACAGCTATCAGTGTTGCTATTACAGCACCTTTGGGAGCTCATTCCCCTCCCTAATTCAGCAGGGGACTGTAAAAAAGGGCATTGCCAAAGTTTGGAGGAGAGAGAGGGGAAACCTCAAAAAAAGACCTAGGCCCAGAAATAGCTTAGAGGGCTTTTTCTCCTTCTTCAGGGTTCAACAGTTACTAATTTTTAATTGATAGGCTTATCTAGTAAAAGTGCAGGTATAGATAATGATGGTGTGGGGAGAACTGAGTCAGGACCACACTGAATGAAGAGAACTGTACTATGGTTTACATTAATCACATAAGCATTACAGTATTTCCATGTCTTGTGCTGATTCACTTTTCAAATATTTGTGCTAAGGAGGTAGATACAATCTGACACAGACAATTCCTTGGGCTCTTTCTTTCAACAGAATAGAAACCAGCTTATTGAAAGAAAATATCTCATCGGTGGTGTTGATCATACAGTGGACATCCGTTAATAAATTAAAAGAATAGCTAGCAGAGAAGTTCATGGCTACTGAATTAAAACAGTAGATAAGATGAAGAATTAATTGCTTTTTAGCATGCGTGAGAAGCAGCTAGCTCTCATTGAAGTTTCATGCTTCCAACATGATTATTCTTCAAAACAAGAGGGGTGAAAAAATCAAATTGAAAAGATCCAGGCTGGAAGCAAAATTTGTTTAGTTCCACTTCAAGTCAGCTTTACATCAGATGTAATTGCGTTACACCCCTTCTGTTCAATATAAAGAGCTGCTTCACGCAAAGAGTAACTCATTACTGAGAAGGCTAAGGGGATCTTTTTAAAAAAGAGATAATAATTGAAACAGTTTGTAAATGCTATTTTTTGTAGTCTAAAAAACCACTAAAATGAAAACACTGGGAAGGTTATGCAGTTCAGATCTGGATTTGATCTCTAAAAATTTGAGAGCATGTAACTGTTGATAATGATTACTTTTGAAGTTTGTCTTCTGTCTGGCAGAAGTTTAAAAGGCCATCATGTTGTTTCACAGTATGTAATGTTTTCAGTTTTGGCCTTACACGAATAGTCATTTTTAATTCCTCTCAGGCCTATTTGCATTCTGTTAAGATGATGTGTGAAATGGAATTATAACTTATGCTATATAGAGAAATAACATTAAGATATCCTTTGAAGTTCTTAACGGTATATTGTAAGAAGTAGTAGTTAAGTAATACCTAGGGAATCTCAGAGTACAAAAACATAGGGTGCAGTTTTTCCCTAAAAGGAACTGAAAGAACAAAACAAGTCTTAATTATAATGATGCATAATAATAACCATTGCTCTGCTTTTATTGTAGGATCTTAAGAGAGTTCTTCAAAGAAATGTTGTTGCTTACGTTAGCCTCCATAATCCAGTCAGAGGCAACTCAACTTTACACCCTGTTGCATCCCCTTCTCTTCAGCAACTGGCAGCAGAGGTTAGAAATAAAATATTTTTTTTCACGTTGTTTATGAGATTACATGGTTAACCCTTTTGATGCCAATTGGGTATAGATAACTGTAGGTGGAGTTTGTTTTTGTTAAGCATTTTAAACTCACAAATACATATGAACTGGTTCTACTTCATTAGCATATGAATGTTATTTAAAAGACTACAATGTGCATTAAGAGGTTGGAAAGAATAACTTACTTCAACAGCTCATTATACCAAAATTCTACATACTTGCATGCCCTATAACTTTTTCACCTTTTGGCAGCTTTAAAGTAACTTTTTTTATTCTTCAGCGCAAAGCACATTTTTCTCTTCCTAATCTGATCTTTCCATTCTGTTTGTCAATTTGCATTTAAACTTGTATATTTACCAGATGTAAAATGACACACAGGGAGAGTATTACTCTTACTATACTAAATACTGTTTAAATTATGTCAGGTTCAGCACTCAGCTAAGTCTTTGTAACTAGTCTACAGTCAGAAATGCAAAATCATTTCTTTTCAGGGTTTTATTTGTAGAAAATTATTTATAGTGTTTCATATACGTGAGTCTACAGGTGTTACAGATATGTCAATTAAAACCTTATTACTAGCTCCTGTATTTTAAAAAAAAAAAAAAAAGTATTCTGATAGGTTGCTAGCCTTTTCCTAACCTAATAGTACGTGCAGTCCTATCTTCATGAAAACAGGTATTTGCCATCTAAAGGAATAAATTTATTACATTAGGTTCTTGAACCATTTTTTTTCCTCATTTTGTTTTTTTGACTTCACAATATGATCCATGGCAGTGACCTGAAAACTGTAAGATGTCTGGAGCTGTGCAGCAGACACTTTCTTGATTATCTGTTTATCACTTTCTTAAGATTTGATTCTTTTATTCTAATAAGCACTGTATTAGTACAAGCGTTGAAGTCAGGACCTCTATTTTGGAAAGAAAGCAAAGGAAATCTCTTTTTCACTTCTACTTTATTTAGGTGTTCCATTTGACTGTGATGTTGTGATATTTTGTAATTCTTGTTGTAATAGCAAATGTATCCTGTCCCGTAGTACAGATACAGCATCTCTTAGATGTCCTGCCTTCCCCCAGTTAATTGGTTTACAGTCAGTAAAACATGACTAGAACTTTATCTGTTTTTCTTCCAGTAAACACTCTCCATTTCCTCTCTGATTCTTCAGTGGCTAAGGCTTTGTTGTTGAGACTGCATCTATTGTTTACTGTCTGAAGCCCCATCTTTTAGATGGGACAAAATGAATGCGAGATAATCTGTATAGTTCGTTGAGGGTTTTTTTGTAGGATAATATTGTTTGTAATTAATGCAACAGTCATGCAGTTTGTGAAGTTAAAAATATTTGTAGGAATTATTGCTTCCGAATGCTGGCTAGATTTCTGAATACATCAGGTATATTGACAGTGATGGAACAGCCAAGCACAGATCTTCGTTTGTTCCCAGGGGTACTCCCAATTTGCCGTGTCCCTAGGAGATTTTCTCTGGAAGACTGATCTACTTATAAAGAATGTTGATTCTACTTCCACCACTTGCCAAGAAAACAGTGTAATTACAGATTACCTCAAAATTATTATAAAGGGTAAGATGTCACTTTCTTATCTCATCTTGAAGAAATTGTGAGTCCATTCACATGAGATTCTTGTTAACAGATGCAGGTAGCAAAGAAGTGCTTAAAAAATCTAGTGAGACACAAGGATCATTTGAATTTGTAAGAATAATTTGCTAAAATGAGGTTTGTTAAAATAAAAAAAGAAGGTGAAATGGAAATTTAGAATAAATAAAAAATGAAAAGGGAAAATAGCCAATCTTGCTTAGTTAGATAGAAACTTTCCGTACTTTGTGGATACATGGAAGATACTGTCCTGTACTTTTGGATTCAGTGATAAAAGTCATACACCCATTTTTAGATCACGATAAAAGAGACTGGCTCAAATTATTTTTTTTTTTTTCCCGTTTTTTAAA